CTGGGACTCGTTGCACCGCACGCTGTTACCACACGGACCGCAGTGCTTCGCTACGCCTACGCGTTGGCTGCCACCTGCACTCGCCCGATCCTGCCGCCGCCGGACTTCCTGCTCTTCGTCCCTGTGGTCATGATGCTCATGCTGCTCTTCTCGCTCGTTCTCTTCCCCTCCACAAACTGGGAGTTCCCGTACCGGACCTTCCCTCAGTAAAATCAGACAAAGAGATGTTTCCTGCTCGATCTTCTATATATGGTATACCATAAAACATGCGGAAGTATCCTAGGAGAACTTGTGCTCTGCCTTTCAAGCCCCAGATGACGAGCTAGCCATTGTTATGTACAAGACGAAGAAATGATTGTTTGCTACTCGTTCCTGGTTTCTCCACAATTTTGTAGCTACGGAAGATCGTACATTAGTAAGGCGGCGATGAGAACCAATGTGCCTGCAACCAAGCCAGGTGGGAGAGTCGAAGCCACGCTGATGTACGGCAGGTGAAAGCAGGGGCGGGCCTACGTTCACGCAGCTGGTGTCACAGGACACCGGGTAGAAATTGCGCTTACGTGTATACTACTTCGTATTTGAGGCTTGGACACCGGTAAAAAATAAATCTGGACACCGGTTGGAGCGAGCTCAGGCGCGGCCCATCTAGTTGAAGGCCCATCCGATTGTCGATCGTCTCGAGGGAGCAAAGAAAACAAGATAACGATCGATTGGATCCTACCGCTCACATACGTGCGTATCCTGCGCCAGTTCGGTTGGTGCCTGCTCGTCTCCTTCCGTCGCGCCGCCGCCCCTCGCCCCCTGAACAATCGCCACTCATCAGTCGCCCTCCCCTGCGCTCGTCCGCTGGCAGGTGCAGATTGCTAAATAATCAAAGGAAATACTATGACTCTCGGCAAGGTCGCCAATTTCTCTGAAACATATGTACATATCCCAATTTTCTCTAATTCTTTACCTAGATTGCATGGCTGGTGTTTTCAAATTCAACGGTATTCCAACACAGATATGAATTCTGTGATTTGATAAATTTTCCTTAGTGATTCACATCTATTTGGAACCTTGGATTATTTGTCGACCGTGCGGCAGCATTAAGACACAATGTCAAGTAAGCTTAAATTCACAACCATACAGTTCGATCAGCAAGCTTTATTGTTGTTTCTGTCTACAAACACAAATAGTGTAACTCCTTGTGCACTTGTGATAACATAATAATCAGCGAATTACGAGGGAATTCATGTTGCCTGATCATATTTGTTCCTATTGTTTGGAGATCTTATGTTTTATTGTTTAATTTTACACAATCAACAAGAGTTTCAAGGGAACACTTCATATTGATAATTATTTTTTTACTATTGGACATTTTAAGCTATTGAATGGGTTACTTTTGTGTATATTATTGCTTACTATCCATCATTTATGGCGTACATGTGGACCCCGGGAAGTTTTTGTTCTAGGTCCGCCCCTGGGTGAAAGCGTAGATCGACATCGGAGCTGCATCAAGAAAGGCCACTTCGGTTCACTGCATATCGATCTCCTTTTAAACAAGGAAAGAACAAGAATTAGAACAAGAAATGCTGCTTGTACCCTCCTCTGCTCCTCGTCCTTCACTTGCGACAGATTTTAAGGTTTTCAGCAACAACAAAAATTCCCCTCAACTTTATAGTTTTGATCCTAGGGATGAACCTGATCATACTTGAACACTCAACGCTAGACTGTTCATTACTACTCCTACGGTCCTACCTGGCAGGTAGGGACGAAATACAAGCTCAAGTTTGGTTGTGTATGGAAGTCCTTCTCCAGAGGAGCACATAGGTTTCAGCGCAGATACATGTGCAAACCTGGTTAACCAGATGCATGTCCTCCAGTGTTCGTAGTTATAACTAGATGGACCATGAGTTTCTCAAAATATATAGATGAACCATGAATCTAGATATCGGCAGGGATAGATTGCTAATGTTTCAAAAGCTCCCGCGAGCGCATAACATCACTAGCCCACTTTCTGTTTGACAAAGTAAATATTTTTGGAACCAAAACATTTTCAAAATTAGTGAACATATTTTTAAAACCTCAAACCTTTTTCTGAACAATGTTTCAGGATGTCAAACTTTGTTTTAAACAATAGGAGCAAAATTGAAAACGAGAACATTATTTGAAACTACAGACAATGTTTTAAAAATACGAACATTTTCTGAAAACAGGAACAAAACTGAAAACACGGACATTTTTTGAAACTACGAGCATTTTTTTCAAAACGCAAACATTTTATGAATTCCTCAGAATGTTTGTGTTTTTAAAAATAGCTCATAATGTCAAAGCATGAACATTTTTTTATAAGAGCAAACAAATTTTGAACATGAACATTTTTTATTTTTTAACATTTTATTAAAATCACTATTATATTTGGAATTTCCAGAGAAATAGAAACAAAAGTTTGAAACGATGTTTTGTATTCGTGTAGAAAAAATCACCATGTTCAACGCAGGGTGTCGTAATAGGTCATAAGGCTCCGTTTCGGAGCATGTTTTTTTTTCTCGACATCCGTCAATTGACCTAAATTTTTTCATTGGCTTGTATGAAGAATTCAAGGCACCGGGCCAAGGTTTTTTTTTGTTTTCGACAAATTTTACATTTTCTGAAGTTTTCTCGGTCAAAAAAAGGTGATAAATTGCCGGGCATGTCGCAACTTGTATATCTTGTCGAAAATCATTCAAAATTGGCATAGATTCCTACGTGTGCATGCCCACCTGCTTGCAAATGTTGGGTCATTTCAAGTGTACTAAAAAATAGACCATGTTCAACGTAGGGTGTTCGGGTACGTTAGAAGGCTCCGTTTGAGAGCACATTGTTTCTCGACATCCTTGAAATGGCCCTAGTTTTTCCCATGGCCTTGTATGACCAATTCAAGGCACCCTGGCAAGTTATTTTGGTTTTTAATAAATTTTGCATTTCCTAATGTTTTCTCAGTAAAAAAGCCAATAAATGCCCGGACATGTTGCAACTTGTATACAATGTCGGAAATTGTTCAAACCTGACATAGATGCCTACCATGTGCATGCCAACCTGCTTGGAAACGTTGTGTTCATTTGAAGGATATCTAAAAATAGACCATGTTTAAATAGACCATATTTAACAGAGGGTGTTCGGGCAGGCAAGAAAGCTCCGCCTAAGAGCACGTTATCTTTCGACATCTATGAAATGACCCCAATTTTTTATATGACCTTGTATGACCAACTAAAGGCACCATGCCAAGTTGTTTTGTTTTTTGGTGCATTTTGCATTTTCTGAAGTTTTCGTGGCCAAAAAAGGTCAATAAATGGCCACACGTGTCGCAACTTGCATACGGTGTCAGAAATCATTCAAAACTGACATGGATGCCTACCATGGGCATGCCCACCTGCTCGAAAAAATTGGAGTCATTTCAAGAATATCCAAAACTAGACCATGTAGAATGAGGGTGTTTAGTTGGCCAGAAGGCTCCGTCTGAGAGCACATTGTTTCCTGACATCTTTCAAACAGCCACAATTTTTTCCATCTCCTTGTATGATCAATTCAAGGCACCATTCCATGTTGTTTGGATTTTCAACAAGTTTTACATTTTTCTAGAGTTTTTCTCATGAAAAAAGATCAATAAATGATCAGACTTGTCACAACTTGCATACGGGGTCAGAAATCATTCAAACCTGGTAATGGTGCCTACCATGGGCAATGCCCACCTTCCTGCAAAAGGTTGGGGTCATTTGAAGGATGTCCAAAACTAGACCATGTTCGACAAAGGGTGTCTGGTAGGCCAGAAGGCTCCGTCATAGAGCCTATTGTTTCTCATTATCCTTTAAAAAGTTCATAGATTTGGAAAGTTCATGAATTTAAGAAATGAAAAAGAATAAGAAAAAATAAAAGAAAAAAGAAAAAAACCGAAGGAAAAAATGGCCAAACAAAAGCCAAAAAAAACAAATTAAGAAGATGCACAAAAAAAGAAGTAATTAGACACAACAAGTGAGTTATCCTAGTTGGTTATAGTGGGTGGAAGTAATCACGAAGGTCCATAGTTTGAATCCTACTTCATGCACCTATTTTGTGAAGGTTAAAAAGGAAAAGAAAAATGGGCCAGACCTAGGTCGGAGGGGTGTGTGCGCCGGATTGTGTGAAGCTACTCCCTGTACAAGCGGGAGCGCCTAGTCACCCTTTTCTGCGCTAGTTAGCGAACGTGGCACTTGAACGCCACCTTTCATGGGCCAACCCAACTACATGAGCGATCAGTTGTTGCTTGTCAAGAGCATACGCCGGATCGCTTCTTCGTGGTTCGACCAAAAAAACTTCTTCATGATTGACCAGGACGAAAAGTTGACCATTGACATATTTGACCTTTGACCGTTTGACTATGAAAAACAGTTCATCTTTTCATGGATTCGTAAAAATTAGCGGATTTGCAAATGTTCCCAAATAAAAATACCATGAATTAAAAAATATCGCGGATTTAAAAAAATCAAGGATTCAGAAAAAGTTCACGAATTCAAAAAAATGTTAAAATTATGAAAACAGTTTATTAATTTTAAAAAAATTCCATCAATTTTGAAAAAAAGTTCATCGATCTCAAATGACGTTCTTCGACTTTGAAAAAATCAATATTAAAAAATCATTGATTTTTTCAAAATGGAAACTGAAAAAGTTTGCATATTGCAAAAGAAAAAGGAACAGAAAAAAGAAAACAAAACAAAAAAGGAAATGAAAAAAAACGAGAAAAGAAAGGATCAAGAAAAAAGGAAAATGAAAAAAAAGGAAATAGGAAAGAAGAAAGGAACGAGAAAAAAATATGTAAACGCAACTGCTCACGGAGGCTGGTTGGTTATCACGTCCAACTAGTATGCTCACGGAGACTTGTTTAATCTTGAATTAATGTAGAAATATCTGGAGAATAGTATGATAAACTTCATAACATCTCGAGTTTGGTGTGAATAATGTAGAAACAACTCAGATAATAACAACTGAAGCAAAGTAATAAGCTATCTGCCATCTGGCTCTTCAGTGATGGTTACATCATTATTACTACATGGGACAACAACACTAGCTGATTCATGTACCTTAGATACCCTTAAGTTGAAGTATGCTGGATGATTAGGCTCTGGGAGAATAACACTCTCACTGGTTAACATTGCAACAACTTCTGACATGGTGGGTCGATCATCTGCGCTCTCTTGTACGCACATTAGTGCAATGTTAATGTACCTCCTAGCCTCTGTTGTATGGATCTCCTTGACAATTGAGACTTCTAGAAGCTCAAGCCACCCCCCTCCTTCCCAGAGTTGCCATGACTACAAGAAGTCATAATGTATCTTTTTCAACTACATATACAAGATAAAAGTAACTTCAGTCTAAAAAATAGTACACTCCTATGACAGAGTGTAGAAAATGCTTACATATCCCAGAAGGTTAAGAAAGTCTCCGTACTGATAGAAACCAGAATTCCTTTTCCCACTAAGGATCTCAAGAAGTAACACACCAAAGCTGAACACGTCAGATTTGATCGAGTAAATGCCTTCAGATGCATATTCCGGAGCCATATAACCACTGAAATGAGTTAGAAGCATATGAAAATATTGTATCAACATTTAAAGTTAGGTTGATTCAACTAAAACTTGCTGTCGTAGGCACTATCTATGTTCTAATTTGTTTTTAAGAAAGGCATCCTTACTATGTTCCCACTACCCTCTTTGTGCTTCCCTCAGTATCTTTGGAGCTGAAAATTTTTGCTAGGCCAAAATCAGAAATTTTAGGATTCATGTCCTGATCCAAGAGAATGTTGCTGGCCTTAAGGTCTCTGTGTATGATTCGCAATCGAGAGTGCTTGTGGAGATACAAAAGACCTTGGGCTATCCCTTCGATTATCACATGCCTTTTTTTCCAATCAACCAAAGTTGTTCTGTTTGCATCTGCAGATTAGAAAGTGCATTTTAGAATATGAAGGAATCTCAATCCAGGATATGGTTAAAAACTGCTTTGTGGGTACCAAATATAAAGAAGTCCAAGCTCTTATTTGGCAAATACTCATACACCAATACTTTTTCCTCTCCCTGAATACAACATCCCAAGAGTTTGACCAGATTGTTATGTTGTAGTTTTGCAATAAGTTCAACTTCATTCTTGAATTCTGTGAAACCCTGTCCTGAATGTGAAGCAAGCCTTTTAAGTGCAATTTCCATTTCATCTGGTAGTTGGCCCTGTAAATATGTACAAAACAAAATTATAGGTGAGCTCTCTCGCTGCTAGTGGAAACGACTCGCTTCAGGAGGTGATGTCGCTCGCTCCATCTTCTCAGAGTGCTTGTTTTAACACCCTAGAAGTCCTATGCATGTGTAATATCTGGCTTGAACGCAATGCTATAGTGTATGATTGTCACTAGCCAGCAGTAGGTGGTAGTTCCCCGGATCAGATAATAATTTGCACGTTTAAGAAAAAAGATCAGATAATAATTTGCCCCTAGTGGTCTGCTGCTGTATGGTTCTTTGTAATGAAATCTCTAGTACATGTCTCTTTCTCTAAATATAATGACATGCAAGTCTTTTCCGTGTTCTCCATTATTTGTTTTTTGAAATGACGGAACATGCCATCCATGTGAGAAAAGAACTTCTAGGATACAAAACATCACATATTGACGACATATTCATAATGTTCCATTTCATTGCATTACTACAATTGCCTTTTGAGTTTCAGTCCACTTTTGAAATAGGACAAAATAAAAGTTTATCGAGGTTTCTTAAATTTTTTTAATGCTGTAAAATTATGTATATTTTAGGGTGCTCGCATGAATGTATTTGTCAGTGGCAAGACAAATCTTTAATTTATTTAACCTATAGTGATTTAATTTATATTTTTGGAATGAAGTGAATCTTTTAGGAAAATACAGTTACCTTGTAGACTGGGCCAAAACCACCTCGCCCAAGTAGATTCTCTTTGGAGAAATTGTGTGTAGCATGCAGTATCTCAGAAAAGTCAAAGAGAGTGAACTCTGAACTCTTCTCCTCCAATCGCCAAACCAGTGCATCTTCTTCTGGCCTATTCGTAGCAGCCTGATCGTTTAAGTTTACATTTCCTAAATTGAGAGGATAAACAAATATACAGCATTAAGTTGGGCCACAAAACTGGCTGGCTTGAATGAATCGTCATTACAACAAACCTTTTCTTCGTCTTCTCATCCATACAACGGAACAGATAAAGCACAAAATTATTGACGATAATGGAGCCACCACAGCGATAATCAACAGCGCCCTCTTGCGTGAGCTGCGTCCTAAGGAAAAAAAACTAATTCTTCTATTTGTTCTCATATATATAAATAATAAAAGGAATTCATTTAGTGATAGAGGCAGCTACAAATCAGCTACAGCAATTGAAGATGCGTGGGCCCTATTTGACAAGGATACTTCACCTATTTCACTGACCTTTGAACAGTTCTGATTCTTACAGCTTTCCGCCTTATCAATTAACCTCCTTTTCCCTTTTATTGTTGTTTTTATTCATCTATTCCTAGGCACAGGTCTACTCTTCTAAAAGTGCTAGTACAACGTAGTTAACAAGCTAATTATCATCATAATCGAATGGTCTAAGTATCGATATTCCTTGTAAGAGCAGAGTACCGTGTAGAATACAGTTTTTTTATTTCCAAGCTTCCTTCTGGTAACATATACTACTAGTACATATCATTATACGTTCTTTTTAATTGCTACAGACATCACTGACGTAAAGACTGAACGGACTCCCTTTTCTCCAACAAAATAAAAACCTTTCCAATAAAATTGAACCCGGCGTACCATGTCCAACCAAGGATGTGCTGGGAAGATGAGAGTTTTACATACCATTCTGTTCTTGGATGGTCGCTTTTCCCTCCGGTGGTGGCGCCGCAGCTGGTGGTTGCACGGTAGCTGGTGTCGTATTGTTGTTGATCGCCGGAACTTCAGGTGCCAAGTTGATAATGCGCAGCGTAGGGTCCCCTTGGAAGAATGGGTACATCTCGTACCTCATATTACACCGTACTCCCAGAAGTCGGCCACCTTGCCTACCGCCCAGGTACCCAAGCGTAAGACTCAAGACAGTCTGGAAACAGGCCATGCAATCGTCGGCGGTCAGATCGGGCGTGCACTGCATAAGACAGTACAGCGTCGGGGAGGAACCAACATCTAAGCGCGAGGTAGTGAACCTCCTCGAGCTATTCGCGGCCGACTGAGCCGTGCTGTTGATAAGCGTGAACAATAATCGTTGGGTGATGTCGGAGTTTGTCGTGAAGTTCCGGTCGCTCATGAGGATCAGTGCGGTGGTGGTGGCGAGAAAATTCTTGTTGGAGAACTTGAGCATGCAGAGATCGTAGTACACGGCGGCTTCCTTATTGTACGGGCAGAGCTGCTCGGCGTCCTCAAAGGCGGTTGCCACGCGGCTCTGGCAGGCGGAGGCGTTGGTGTCACCGCGGCAGAGCGTAAGGGCGTGAACGATGTCCGGAACATCGCCCACAGTGGCTGTGGCGAAGAGGTTGGTGTTGGACACGGCTTTCTTGGGGAGGGTGGAAGAGAGGAGCCTGAGGTTGGCTTGGTAGGTGCTATTTTGTGTGAAGTTGCCCTTCTTGCCGCAATCTGGCCATTGCGCAGTGGCGAGAGGCGCAAGAAGCAGGAGGAGAAGGAGGGGGGCGGTGACCATGTCCATCGACTAACTTGGTACCAAGTCTGGGCAGAAGCTAATATAGAATTCTTATACTACTAAACAATACATACCAGTTGAGTTACTCCAATCAACATCACAAGCATGGAAATGTGTTGGGACGTGTGAACTGGTCTAGCCGCCGAGCGAGACTACGCGTGGAAAAAACTACGTACAAGAAGATTTTGGTGTTTACAAGGAATCAAGTGTCTTAAGGGCATCGCTAATTGATAGCCAAAATCTAAAACCCCAAAAAAGGTATCCGCAGAACTTTAAATCCCAAAAAAAAAGTCCTGGGTATTAAGAGTCTGGTTTCTAACCGATGCTCAATACTTACCAAAAAACATATTTGAATTGTAATTTTACTGCTTTGTACATCCATATGGCACATCCACTTCATAATTAGCATATATGTACTGAATTCACTAAAAACATATATATTATATATAATTAAACATATTATATAATTAAACTTCTTTTTTTGTGGGGAATATAATTAAACTTCAGTTTGACATTAAACAGAAGCTCCCAGATAGCTAATCATGAGGAATGCTTCAGGTGCACAAAAATATATGATAAAATGCTAGGTCAACAATTATGTAACACATATATTGATAATTTTTACAAAAAACTATTCGTGTGGTCGGAGGCGTACCCCGCAGTACACGCGGTCAGCAGTAGATGTCTGGATCACCCGGTCGTCGCGGGAGTCGCTTTAGACTTAGGACCCGGTTTAGTTAACGTGGGCAGCTTCGCAGCTCCTTTTTTTTTAGGATTTCGCAGCTCCTTTCAGCTGAATCAACTGTCCGAGTTTCGGAAAATATCTATGATTGGCCGGGGGCCTAGAAAGTGGACTGGGAGGGAGAGCAGGACTTGCGGTTGGGGCACTAGCAGTACGCCGCTGACTTGGTTGACTGATTAGAGCATCTTTTGAAAAAGCTAAACTAAAACAAACTTATTTTTATCTTTAAAAAGTTAAGTTCGAAGGATTAAGCTTTTTCTCAACTAGCGGATTCCCTAAACTCCTTTTTTTTTGAGAAATAGATTCCCTAAACTCCTAGAGTTAGGCCGTTCAGAGCAGGGGCGATTCTACTAGGGGGGCTTTAACAGGCTCAAGCCCCCCCCCCCCCTCCAGTGCTGTAAAATTTGTATTTACTACTAGTTTTAAGGCCCAGCCCAGCTACTTGCAGGCACAATCCAACACATAATTGTATGACCCAGATAGCCCAGCCCCCCTCCATTATTTTCTAGATTCGCCACTGGCTCAGAGTTGAACTCCAAGAGTCCTCTAAATTTTGTACCGAGATCTTCACCAGCTTCAGTCCGTAAACCCATGGAATTGGACCGGTCAACAGGAATTTCAGGGGCGTACCCACAGGACACCGGGTGCGATATATTTTCTTTGTAAGTTTTATTATTATGTAAAATATAGTGTGTGACACCCTGTCTTTTTAAATGAAAACTATGAGCAATCATATGCTAGGACACCTGATCATTTTCTCTCTAGGTCTGCCCCTGAGGAATTTACGTGGAGTATGATCATTTTTACAAAAACTCTTGGTGTGGTCGGAGGCGGTAACCACGCAGTCAGCAGTGCATGTCTGGATCACCCGATCGCTGCGGGCATCGTTGTAGACATGACTAATTTTCCCACCCGGTCGCTGCGGATGTCGATTCAATTGACGTGAGTAGCTTAGCACCTCCTATATGTTTTTTTTAGAAAAGGAGGATGACCCCGGCCTCTGCATCTGGACGATATATACGGCCATTTTATTAATTATTATCACAAAATCTTACAAAGCTATACAACAGCAAGACTAAAGTCACCGTGTAAGCAACAACTGTCGCTACACCTATCCAATTGATGAAAGGGCGCAGATAGTCTGAGCCTAATACCAAATAGACATCGCAGCCAAACCTAAACATCTAAGACCTGAGGTCCCAACCAGGACGCCTGCCGGGTATGGGGCACCTACCAGTCCGGCGCACTCCTCAACAGGACGCCTGCCCGGTATGAGGCCGCCGCAGCCACCTGCCATAAATCCATCTTCAGAGTTGTACTGTTGCATGTACCGTGCCAGGTCTCTCTGCCATCGACGCCACCACGACGCCCGACAGCGCCGTCCTCCTGCGCGAGTCCATCCTCCCACAGCGAACTCCGAATCTGCACTGCGCCACGCCGTCAAGATCCGTCGCCATCAGTGTGTAGGATGAAGCACCACTCCACCAAAGAATCCGTCCTCTGGTCCCTCGATCACGTGTGTACCTCTAAAAATGACGCCCCCAAGAGAGGAACGACACCAGAGCGCCGCCGTCATCCGATCATCCGATCTAGGGTTTCCCCCGGAGGTAGCAAAGAGTGGCCTTGAACTTCTCCACGGCGATGCCTTCAAGAAGGGAACGACGCAGATAGCGCCGCCACCGCCGGCCTTAGCAGAAGCCGAAGGCAAGTTTTCACCCAGATCAGTTCGAAGGAATCCAACTCTCGTGCACGGGCCGTCGTCACCACCAGCACCACCAGGCAGACCCTGGAGTACCGGCAGATCAGCGAGCCACCGGCACCACCGCATCCAGATCGCCGGCCACGCCGGGCCGCCGCCATCCCCCGCGCCGTCCGGGTCAGAGACGAAGCTGCCGACCGCGCACAGGGACCGCCGCCGCCTGCACACGCCGGAGCGCCGCCGAGATCCCAGCGCCCGCCACCATTTGTCAACGCCAACCGCCGCCCGATCACTGGCGCCACCGTGGAGCCATCAGATCGGGGAGGGAGACGTCGCGTGCCGACCACCCTCGTGGACCCCGCCGCACGCCCGAGCGCCGGCGCCACCGCGGCGCCATCAGATCGGGAGGAGGAGGAGCCCGCGCCTCGCCGCCCCACGCAGACCACGCCGCCGCCATCACCGCAGCGCCACCAAACGGGAGCCCCGCAGATCCGCCGGCGACCCGACCTGCCGCCGAGCCGAGCGCCGCTGCGAGGGCCGGCCGTCCCGCGCCGCCCAGGAGCCTCGTGAGGAGGGAGGGAGCCCCGCCGCCGCCGACGCACGCGCGGGCTTTGCCCGGCGGCGTCCCCTGGCGGCAGCGAGGGAGAAGAAAGGCGAAGGAAGGGAGCGGCGGCGGCGATCTAGGGTTCCACCCGGGCCGCTCGTGGGAGCGGCACGGGGGATGGCTAGTACCCTTATCGTTAGAGATACTAAGCTCCCGTGAAATCAAGCGCTCTCGTGCGTCGGGGCTTTGATGGGCGGGTGGACCCTGCTGGTCAGTAGGAGGTCGTGGGCTTCTTCCCCGCGTTGTGGCTCGCATCCTTTATTTTTGGAGGGTGGCTCGCATCTTTTATTCCTTGTGTATTTTACGTCGGTTGGTGTTTAGTCGTATGGTCAGTTCGTCTGCTCGATCTTTTGCCTTCTCTCAATCTCGGTCTCTTCCGTATCCTTTCCATCGCACCACGGGCCTGAAAAGGGCGACTCTATCGCTCCCTATACTATATATCCTATAAGATGAAGTGGGAGCACAGACGGGAACATCGGAAGGAAGCAGGCAAGCCGGAAGGCCCTACCCCGTCTCCCCTGACGGGCCGGGCAGAAGGAGCTCCCCCGCCATGCCGTGGCTCTCGCGCCAGAGTCGCCCACCTCCTCACGGCCTAGATTTCTTAGAGCATTACTAGTAGTGCCCTCAAACCCTCAAACCCTTAAAAATAACCGTTTTTTTACAGTTTTCGCCGGAAAAACGCCGTAGACTAGAACCTCTAAACCCTCAAACCCGTAAAAAAAATTAGAGGTCCAACCCTCAAACCAATTTGCAATCTGTAGAAGTAGGGGTTGAGGGGGAAATCTCCCCCCAACCCGCACTCCTCTTCGTCGCTGCCTCCTCGTTCGCGCGGGAGGCAACCGCTCCCTTCCCGCCCGCGTCCCGGCGCCCTCCTCCTCGTCGCCGGCCATGGAAGGCCCCTCCGCCGCCGCGCCCCCGCCCGCCGCGGCCGCCGTTCCCGCCTCGCCCGTCCCGCCCGCATCGGCCGCCGCGTCGCCCGCC